AGCTAATTTTTTGTATTTTTAGTAGAGACAGGGTTTCACCATATTGACCAGGATGGTCTTGATCTCTTGACCTCGTGATCCACCCGCCTCGGCCTCCCAAAGTGCTGGGATTACAGGCGTGGGCCACCACGCCCGGCCTATGTTTTCTTCTAAAACATTTTATATTTCTCTGTGCTCCTCCTCGCTCCTGTAAAATAGTGGTATTCAATTGTGAGTGTCGGGAATGTGTTGGTTTTCACAATGAGTGGTAGGCACCTCTAGCATTTGAGAGGTGAAGGTTAAGTATGCTACCTATTTTAGGGTGAATAAAATTCAAATATGTGACATTAAAATAATTTGAAAGTATAGTGACACATGAAGGTATGCTGAGTAAATACCAACTAAAAAAATGTAGCTTAGCAATATTGGAGGCCAAAACAGTAGTAGCAGGGGTAGAATAAGACTGTGTCATAGTTAAAGGAATCAGTCACTAAGTTGATATAACAACCATTAGTTTGTATGTGGCTAACAATATGTCCTCAAAAGTAAAAGTATATACAAATTCTGATGAATGTATAAGTCCCTATAGATAAGTACAGTCATGTGGGAGATTTTAACCAGTGATATGTCTAGCTGATGAATACTTTTATAATATTTATATGTTAAATAGAATATTTTAACTACAGTTAATTAACTCTAGAAAACTGTATACCCAGGAAATAAGTCTATTTACAAAGCATGAATTATTTATAAAAATTGACTGTATACTTGCTCACAGGTTGTCTTAATAAATTCTCCAAACATTATTAATAGAAAATGTATACAATGGGAATCCTAGGAAGCATGCTTGTAATTGATTTAATGAGAATCTCATTAAAAATATTGAGACTAGAATACTGAGAATGCCACATAAACTTGTGAAGAGCAGCTAAAGCATTACTTAGAAGTCAATTAGTAGCCTTAATAACGTTGCATTTTTAAATCCTGTAAATAGCACATCTTCCTTGACATGAATTCTGTATGTTTTATGCAGAGTCAGAAGACTAGGAAGCAATGGATCTAGCATTTGAATTTAGGAGTCTTCATTCAAAGATCTGCTCTTCTTTGAGATTCCAAATAGAAACTATTTCTTTATTTCTCATGCAGTTTTTTTTTTTTTTTCTCTGATATGTCCTTTGCCTGTAATGTGTAGTTTGGTGCATCTTTGTGAAATTTCTTATGTTTTAGTGAATGAAGCCTTTCAAATGACTTAGGATGTTTTCCCAGTTCTCTCCAGAGATAGTTAACTGATCAGTGGTCATATTAATACCAAAATGTGTTATATGTTAAATAGCCATTGAAAACACAATGTTTTGTTTTCTATTTAAAAACGATTATTACTTTAATCATTAAAAAGTTTGATGATAACATGAAAATGTGTTGTCAAAATATAGCAGTTTGTGAAGTTGAATTTAAGTCAGAGTGCTTTCTGTGTTTTGGAAAGAACCCTATTAGAAAAAGTGCCGTGGTGCTGGGGAAAGGGAGGATGAATTAATAGCTTTTAGTTTGTCACATTTATATTTCAGTGGAGATTCAAGGATATAGTTTACATTATTTTAGAGATTCTAAGGAAGGTATATAACATTTGGTTCTGCGTTTTTCTTCAGTATGACAAAAGAGTAAGCAAATATTTGCCAAAGAAGAAACAGATACACCTGTAAGATAAACCTGCATTTGTAATCTGTATGAAGTAAAAATTATAGTTTGCTGTTACGAACATTGTACTGTTTTAAAAAACCCACATCTTCCATTTTAGACATACCATTGCCATTCAATCCATATGTCCAGTCATCTTCAAAATTTCTTTTGACTGTTTATATATGAATTTACCTGATTATATTTTTCCATTCACTAAGACCATAAATTGACATTGCTCATTTTGTCAGTCTTTTTTTTTTTTAATTTTTTCTTTTTTATTTATAAAAAGGCCATCCCATGTATCTCACCCAAATTTGTTCACTAAAGTCACCCCACATTTTTTGGGGGGGATTACTTTTGAAGTATTATCTTTGTATCCCAAAGCAGGCCCTTCTGAAACCGATGATGTTGATGAAAAACACCCCCTATCGAAGCCTTTGCAAGGTAGAATCTTTTCACTTCCATTTTCCCACATACTGTTCGTATTGAATGTTGCCTTATTTTGCACAGACTGTGTTTTAATATTTATTAAGTATAGCATTACTTTTCTAAATGGAAAAGGAAAAAAAAATGTATTGGCCTTTTTTTAACATATAAATGAACTTCACAAGCAACAATTTTTCAAAATCAATTTTCCCTTTTGTGAATCTAGTAATGAATCTCGAAATGGGTACATGACACACTTTCCTATTGAAGGTAAAGTACACATTTATACCTTATCTCAGAATGGTCAGAGGTCAGGTTACTATTATACAATAGTATAGTAATTCGAATATTGATAAGGTCATGTTGATACTTGATAGTATTTAGAAGGATTCTGAAATAGTGCTTGTTAATCTATAAGTTTCAAATTGATTACCTCGTTTGGAATTTTTTATAGTGTTCCCAAACTTGATACTCCTAGGCTATTAGTAGTGGCTGTTATTTCTGTCTATTCTGGCTTTGAGCGCATAAGATGTATTTTCTTTAGGTTTAGCATATAATGTAAATGTGATTGTTTATTTCAGATTTTAAAAGCCATACAGAATTATTGCTTACATGAACCACCATCTTAACTGTGATTCTTTACTGCAATTCTGCTTTTTAACTACTGGCCTTGCCATTTCGCTCTCATTCCTCTGACCTGACATCTCTTTATTCTTTGATTTTATAGTCAAAGAATTTAGTGCTCCATAAATTCAAGGATTAAGATTAAAAAAAGAGAAAGGAAGTGTATAGAGAAAGCATATTTTAAAAATGAATTAAAGATTGACTCACAGGTATAGGTTTACAGATTGACCTAGAGCTTTGGGTTCAGGCGAGTTTCCACAATATGAAGTGGAAATGAATCCCCAGATAATTGTGACACAATAAAGCTAGCTACGGAGAACCAAAAAGATGTTACCTCAGTGTGGTACTTTGAATTCAAGGACATCAGCCACCGAAGGACAGTTTTTCAGACTGTAAGCCTTGCTCTTTAAAATACAAGATAAAATATATTTATAACTTAGATCTTACTTTTAGTATAGTTTCTGAATTTAGTTATCAACAGATAAGACAAAATAAATGAGCATCTGCTTCCTTTTCCCCTAAGCGATGTATTCTTATCGATAGGTAATACGTTTTTATTTATACTTAAAGGCAGTGTTTTTTCTATTTTTTCCATGTTATTAGCTCAGATCTCTAAGGACAGAGGATGCAAATGAGGGGGCAGCTTGGATTCTTAACCCTAAGTGGCTCTCTGATGTCTTAGAGTCTTTCTTTCCTATTTGTGGGTAAAACTTCTGCCCTGGTAGGATGAGCCTGTTTACCTTGTGACTGCCTAACTGATCATTGCTTTATGTTCCAGTTTTTGGAAGCAGGCAGATTATATTACCTGACTTAAAATGCTTTTGAGACTAAAGGTAGTATCTTAAATTTTAACTTATGAGTTTCCTTTAAGTACAACTTTGATGAAATTATGGGGATTGAGTTTCTATGGCTTTCACCATAGTGAAAATGGAAAGCAGGAAACATTTCACAGCAAACCCTGAACTTATTTATAGAGAGTTAAGTGTCTGAGCATGGCAAGCATTCACTCTGATCTGTGTGTGTGTGTGTGTGTCATTGACAGCTGAGCATGGTACTTGAAGCGCAATTGTGCTTCCTCAGATTCCAGTATCCAACAATATTATCATGTAGTTACAGTAACTAATATTAAATCCCTAAAACTACTTAGGTCTGCTTTGTATTTGTATTTTAAAATAATTTTTTTAGCTTCCAAATAGAAGTGTTGTGTTCTTTCCTGAATTAGAAAACATTGTTTGAATGAACTGCTAAAGAGTTAGACAATCATTTTGCAGATGTTTATTATGTCCTATGTTATTTGCATTGTTACCTAGATTCTGTTTCATCTTTCCATGCCAATTTTTATTGGTTTATTATATGTTGTTTATTTTCTTTCTAGGAAGCCATCATTCTTCAGAGGGTAACGAAGGCACAGAAATGGAAGTACCAGCAGAAGGTTAGGAGAAAAAGATTGCATATTTTACAGTATTTGTTGGATGTTTATTTTATAGATTCTGGTGTCCTTAAAACACCTCCTTTGGAAATCAAAGGTGATTCCTTTGGTATTCCTTCCTGGCCAACAGGTTATTTTTTTTTAAGTTCTAAGATGTAATATGCCCTTTGACCATACTGATTAATAAAGCCTATGGGAATGAAAACTCAGTGGTAAGTAAAACTCTTCATGATGCAAAATGCTACTTTTTTTTGGCCCTGGTTTTCTTGTGCCATATTGAAGATCTTTTAAGGAAGAATAGCTTCAGTGTTTCAGAATGAAAATGCCTAGCTCCATTCGTATTTTATTTTCAAGTGTACTTTTTAATACTTCTAAGGTTTTAGTCAGGTAAGAATATGGTCTACATAAAATTTATAAAGGAGAGATTTTCTCCCTTTATTTTATACCTGTAACCACTCCATAAACTACCTTGTCAGTTTAGCAGCCCTGCAGCTTTGGTTTTAGGACAGAACACCTGACTGAGGTACAGCTCTTTTCTTTTAGAATCCTGAGTTAGACTGTTACCGTGCAGGGTGGCTTCCGACTTCTAAGTGGTTGAATGGTTCCGCACAAATTTTTGTAGATTTCTCCCAAGGAAAATGACTGGTAAGGTAACTGGATCTTGTTTTAGAATGATTTCTCTCATCAGTTGGTCATGTGATACCTTATTTTTCTAGAATGAAAAGAGGAGTCTGTTCTGTAACTGGTTATGTTCCATTGTATTTACATTTTTATTTTAATTTAAAAAAATCACTTGTTTGACATTTTACCTTCTTTGAGGGAAAGGCAATCTTAAGGTCCCCGAATACAGACTGGTTTCTCCAAATTCAGTGATACAATTAAGTTTTCTCCCTGGAATACATTTCTTGCAGAAATACTGATATGCTCATTTTAAATAACTGGCTACATTTCCCTGTCAGCCCTTTTTATAGATTGCGTGGGTGAATGTTGTATGCTTTCGGTGTGGAGGTGGGTATTTTCTCTGAGACAGAGTTTTCAGCATTGAATAAGCAGGATTTAGAACAACAAAACCTAAGTAACAGCACACGTGCAGTCCGAGGGTTCATCGGGCAGTACCGATGACTCACAGCCTTGCAGCCCCGTCGGCAGGTACTGCACCCCGAAGACTTCATTTTTAGGACCTTTTAACTGTCATATTCCAGTGTTAACAAAGTCGAATCGAGTCTGAGTTCTGGCCTTTATTCCTTCACTAACAAGTAAACATAATCTTTGGCAAATCAATTAATCTCTCAACCTTTGCACAATGAAAGAGAACTAATGAGAATACTCTTTAGCTAAGCTTCTAGCACTAACATTCTGACGTACATTTGTCTTGAGTAGGGACAAACCTGAATGAACTTTGTAAATTTTTGAAATACGTTGCATACAAAGTGAGAGGATGTAGTCCTGTATGCACTTGTGACTGACACTCCGTCTGTTGATGTGAAGGTCTCCATTGCAAAGCCTGGGTTGTGGTTTTATTGAACAGTAGAAGCCACTGCTCACATTTCTGAAAGGAGGGGAGAAATCCTAACCACAGTAGAAAGCATTTGTTTCTATCTGAGCATCTTGTAGCTGTGGCAGTAAATTCATTGTGAATTTGTCATATCCTCATTCCTCCAAGGCCATGGGATTTTTTGAGTCAATTTCTGCAGGTAACATGTTATTATCTAAATTTTTTCCAGAGTTTTTCTAGTTTTTGTTTTCATTTATCCCTACTGATAATGAAAAGGGTCAACTTTTAATTTCATAAATATGAAATGAATTAAAATGCCAGTGAATTTTTATAGTAGGCTGCTTTTGGAGTATCAAATCAGTAAAATGTTGGAACATATGGAAAAATGCTTAATAATGAATGTCATTTTAGAATTTTATTTTTTTCAAGATTCTACTCAACATGTCCCTTCAGAAACAAGTGAGGACCCTGAAGTTGAGGTGACTATTGAAGGTTAGTTATCTAAAAGCCTTGATTCCAAAGTTTCCTTCTGGTCATAAAAATATTTGTCACATTCACATTGCTAAATATGCATTTCATTCATTTTGAAAGGATACTTGGGGTATGAATACATGTGTTTGTGTGACCAAAGCAGCCCACTCCCCAGCAGTGCACCCCAGTGCTTTGGGAGTTTTAGATGGCAGAATGAAGCTGTGAGGATTAGCATTGGCCCCCAGGGGGCCCGGGCTATCCTTGCTATCAGTGGGAATTGAAAAGAAAATAAGAAAATTATGACCAGACTTGATACACACAAAAACAGATTCTATGATCTATTGGGTTGTGATAGAAGAAGATTTATCTGGAGCTGGAATCCCTATTTTCTAATTAAGTAAAGTGGAGGAAAAAGTGTTGATAGGTTAGTAAGTTTTAAAGGGAGTCTCCCTGCTACTTGCAAATACTACTTAGAGGCTGATACACAATTTGTCTTTCAAAACTGTTTTGAAGCAATAGCTACAAATATATTCTACAGTACTCTCTATAGCTAAAATTGCTTCAAACGTAGTTTTTTTTCTCCAAAGATAAGCATGAACTCAGCTGAGCCAGTTTATCCTGAATTATTTAAAAATTCAGCTAATGGAATTATTGCCGATCATTTCATACTAATAATTATTAAGGCTGGGTGTGGTGGCTCATGCCCGTAATCCCAGCACTTTGGGAGGCCGAGGCGGGTGGATCCTGAGGTCAGGAGTTTGAGACCAGGCTGGCCAACATGGCAAAACCTCGTCTCTGCTAAAAAAGTTACAAAAATGAGCCGGGCGTGGTGGCGGGTCCTGTAATCTCAGCTCCTCGGGAAGCTGAGGCAGGAGAATCGCTTGAACCCAGGAGGCGGAGGTTGCAGTGAGCTGAGATCATACCATTGCACTCCAGCCTGGGCGACAAGAGCAAGACTCCATCTCAAAAAATAATAATAATTGAGTATTGTGTTTTTCCTTTCAAATTAATGTCTCATGGCCGGGCACCGTGGCTCACACCTGTAATCCCAGCACTTTGGGAGGCCGAGGCGGGTGGATTACCTGAGGTCAGGAGTTCAAAACCAACCTGACAAACATGGTGAAACCCCATCTCTACTAAAAATACAAAATTAGCTGAGTGCGGTAGTGCATGCCTGTAATCCCAGCTACTCTGGAGGCTGAGGCAGGAGAATCGCTTGAACCCTGGAGGCGGAGGTGGCAGTGAGCTCAGATACGCCACTGCATTCCAGCCTGGGCAACAAGTGCAAAACTCCATCTCAAAAAAAATTAAAAATAAATAAAAATTAATGTCTCACAATACTTCTGTAAGTTTTTTCCCTTCAAAGTACTTCTTTCTTACGGGAAAATGTCAAAACAGTAGAGTAAATTTGCACAGTGGAAAGCTTTCTTCACCCTCACTCTGCTCCCAAGTCCCAGTACTGAGGGATATATGTCAGCTTATTATGTCTACTTCGAGAAATAATTTCATGTGTATATCTTGATTTTTGCAAAAATGCACAGATGCCTTCAGCATCCATTATAATGCAGATTTTAAAATATCACATATTCCATAGGCTTCCCCTCCCATAACCACACATCTTGTTACTTTGTTAGCTTTCTTCTAGCTGCTGCGTAACCGTTCTTGGTCTGCTGTCTGTCTCTTTCTCTTAATGACCTGTTGCCTACCGATTATTGGTTATTTATAGTGTTTGACTGCTTCAAACTACTCAACCTGTCTGTGTCTTCGTTGCTTCTAAAATATGTTGCTTAGTAGCTTCCACCTAATAAAATAAATCTTCTCATACTTCACATGTTAATATACAGATTTCTTTTTTCATTCATATAATTTTTCTAATCTAAAACATTTTGAATTGTTTACAGTCTAGCATTAAATAGTTGAAATTTAATTTCTCTTTAGTTAGAAACCTCATTCACAGGAAAAAATGGAAGAACATATCAATATTATAAATATTCACCTGTGTCCTTTCTATGGAGATATTAATAGGAGGTTATTCAAATTATAAAAATAAAACTTTTAGGTAGGACTAATAACCATATTGATTTGTCAGATCTTAACGCAGATAGAGGCTATATTAAAATGGTTTAGAATGTAAATATTTGCTTTTATAGTATAAGACGTTTAAAGAGAGCTTAACAGACATCAAGAAATAAATGGCTAATGAACCCGAAGCATAGGTCAGTCCTTTGAACTTGAACTGTTTTGGATGGAGTAATAAATCTCATTTCTTTTCAGCTAAGACATTGTGCCATAAGCCTGCTTTAACATTCACATTTGGGATTAAGTAGCAGAATTTTGCTATGTAGACTTCTTTCATTTCAGAAGACCAGTAAAATACCAGGTCTAAGTAAAGTAATTCTTTTAAAAGGTAGCATTTTCTGTGTTTTTATGTGCATACACACATACACATTTTATATATGTATATGTAAAAGATACATATACTCTATAGAAATTATAGCAACCATTAAATTCCTAATTTTTTAAGGAAGATAAAAATTGTCTCAGTATGAACAGGGAAGGTCAAGTGAGAAATTATGTGCATACTTCCGGTTAATAATGTATATTGTGGCCGGGCATGGTTGCTCACGCCTGTAAATCCCAGCACTTCGGGAGGCTGAGGCAGGCGGATCACCTGAGGTCAGGCGTTTGAGACCAGCTTGGCCAATGTAGTGAAATCCCGTCTCTACTGAAAATAGAAAAAATTATTCAGGCATGGAAGTGGGCACCTGTAATCCCAGCTACTCAGGAGGCTGAGGCAGGAGAATCACATGAACCTGGGAGGTGGAGGTTGCAGTGAGCCAAGATTGCACGACTGCACTTTAGCCCGGCAACTGTATGAGACTCTGTGTCAAAAAAAATAATAATAATAATAATGTGTTATTTCTGGAAAGATTACTTCCAGGCCGGGCGTGGTGGCTCAAGCCTGTAATCCCAGCACTTTGGGAGGCCGAGGC